GTGTGTTTCTTGCTCAGTTAGACACGTGTATCTTTCTACTATTCAGATGCTATCTTATCAGGTCTCACACCAGACACATAATTAAAGAGTGAATTTCCCAAAGTGTCTGAGAATTCTAGACAATGTCTTGTGCTTTTCTGAGAAAAGGAAATGTTAATGGAAGAGTGATTGATTGAATCTTTTAGAAGATGCTGACCCACAGTGTTCCTGTAGCAGCTGGCCATATAAAGGATTAAAAATATAAACAGAAAGAGCTTCCATGGTCATCACAGACTGCAACAGCCTTGTTCTAAAGACTACACATTAGGATGCTGGGAAGACAGCCTAATATGAGTAGAGACTCACTGTTGTCCTGGCCAGATCCCAAGGAGTTTCTTTCTCACCTGTCTAGCAGATGCAGGTGTTTGATCCCTCAGGTATTTGGCCCAGTTTGTGGGGGCTACAGCCTCTTTGCCTCTGGTCATGCATGAAGTTGGATGCTGCCACTTTTGTGTTAACCCGTAGTTAAGGGGCCTCGCTGGTAGGACTTTGGGATCACATGCATAGCGAGGGCACTCTGCCGAGACCCTTCCCAAGCAGAACTCTGAAAACCCTATGAAGGGACCACTCACAACTGGAATTGGCATTCTAGGTGTGGAAGCTCTTCTGACCTGGTGATGTAACTATCTCTGCACTTTCTCTTTCTTCTGTGTAATCATGAATGTGTCCACTAACAGTTTATTAAACATTGTTTTATTACTTTTAACTTGATGATAAAATCATGCCAGTACACCCTTAATGTGAGTTTTTCTTCTATCATTTTCTAAAACCTGTGTTGTTACAGATGTGCTTAATACACAGCACTTGATTCTAGGGACAGCTACTGAGTGTTTCTTATTCGTGACAGATGAGAAGTAGTTTTGAGTATATGACTCAGAGAACTGCGGTTGAAATCTCCTAAACCCTGTGAGAGGACTAATTATTCATGTCACTGTTTGATCATTATAAGGACTTTATTTGATTGGGAAATAACGCTCAGTACAGAATGCACTGCAGTGTGGTTTGGGGAACTGGGTTGTGAATGGTGGACGGGCTCGTGTGTGCTTAGTGCTCATGAGGAGCATGGAGGGAGGATAGTGAGGACATCTGGCTAAACCGCCTGAGAGGGTTCTGAAGACAACCCAGTGTGATCAGAGATCACCTGAGTATAGCAGGTAATGCGAAAATGATCAGGGATCAAACATTATCAGGTTCCAAGCACAGTTCATCAATGTAGGATCTATTTCTATTCCTAGGCAGAGAGGATGAGATACCTACTCCTCTATTGTCCTCTGCTGTCCCCACATACGCGCAGGGAATCAGGCTGCTTTTGCAGTTGTGCCTGCTCTAGAGCCCTGCACCGTGAGCTCTGTGTGGGGCTGAAAAGAACACACTTGCAATTCCCAGGTACTATGCCCAGGCTGATGTATCCTCCAGGAACAAGGCTTTAGGGATCAGAAGAGAATTGTCATTCCTGCTAAATAAGAAGGAAACAGGAAAGAACTTCTGAAAAATAAGTTCTACTTATTATGCCTGCATAATTTATATTCTTTCATGCATCATAATTTAACTGTCAACTATTTGGGGGTGTTTAAAATTTTCTAATTGATTTCTCTGGTCCTTAAAGGGGTCAATAGGTGTGTGATACTTAGAGGAATGCTCCTGACCAAAGGTAAAGAATGTTGAAGAGTCAAAGGGCACTGTTCAAGGTTATATATTCTTAAATTATCATATGCATATCATCATACCATGTACTGCAACAAAACAATGGGCATTTTCAAACACCCACTCAGGGAAGTAAGATTTCCTTAACCTTTACATGGGACAATTGGCCTAAGATGAAGGTGAACAAATGGCATCATGATGCTATATGGGCATATCCTTTATTGACTTTTGGATTGATCATATTGTATGCATTACCTTCAGATAATGCAAACTATATTAGATGACATTCACCATCATTTTTTTTATCTTAGGAGAGGTCTTCTAATTTGTAAAAGAATATTTTGTATATTAAGGAAGTGATAATATTGTTGACCAATTATTTTAAAAATGATTTAATAGACTCTGAGCTTATTGTAAATACTTTCACATAAATCATGCTTAACCAGAAATAATTATGAGCATCTAAGTTGGAAAAAAACTCCCATCATTTGCATTTTGCTTTAACCTATTTGCAATGCATCTCAGTGTATAATGTTGAAAATACATTTGTGTTAAATTTATTATTTTAATATTCTAAAAAATTATTTAGTATGTCTGGAACTTATTCTGTTATAAATGTGTGTACTCACTTAATTTTAGTTTGTACAATAGTTTACTTTCCACTATGAATAACATAATTTAATAATGAATGAATTTACATGCAAATCTTGTGATAAAAGGATAGATGATACTCAGCCTGATTAGATTTAGACAGGCAGTTAGACAGATAGATAGACAGATAGATAGAGACAGATAGATTGCCTTTTTATAATCTGTCCCAATGATCCATCTATTAGTTGCTTTTTCTCCGAATAGCATGCTCCTTTTACGTTCTGAAACAGTTTCACTACTTTCATAGATTTCACAAATTTCAGAGCACTTTTGTAACATTTGTCTTTGACATAAAACTTCTCTGTTCTTTCAGTGTTTCTGAGCAGTGGCAACATGGATAGAATTTTTTATATTAACATTTATAAAACATATTTAGTGATTTTATCTCTTTTAGAATTTTAGGGTTCTAAAATATCTCATAGTAAGTTCTGTTAAGATTGTTGCTATTCTATATATGTTTTTTTCAAAGTACTTTCACTTACCAGTTTTATATTGGAAATGTGTTTTTATTCTCATTTACTTAGGTTTGTTTGGGGCCTGCACCAGTATTTTATTTTATTTTTAGGTGAATAGTCTTATTCCTAAAAGGATATTCATGACTGCTTTTCTCTTTAATTTGTTCTTTCTCTCCTAACTTGCTGGATATTTATTCTATGAGTTAGAAACTCCAGTGCAAAAGTAAATAATTCTGATGCTTGCAAAGAAATCTTGTTTGAACAACGTTTTCAATGAAATTACTCCCTGTGTACAGCTTCTTTTTTTATTTTCAAAATAAGAGGAGAAAAACATTATCAGGCAGACAACCTTTTACAAAATAGCAAAAGAACAGTACAGACAATACAGAGTTACAAACAATGTGGTAAGAAATTAACAACGCTTGTTGTATTACATATTGACATTTTCAAAGTGGTTTCTCATGAAAACAGATAGAGACATGCAATATTGATCAATCAAGATATTGATCAATATGAATCAATCATTAACAGTTTCTTTCAGCAAAGAAATAGAAGACAGTAGAACAACTATGTGAACTATCCTGTATAGGCATACATACAAAATTTCTCCTTTCCCTACTCCTTTCCCACATCCCAGCTGCCCTTGACCCTTGAGCTTTTTCCTGTCATTCCACAACGGGCAGCTGGGATGAATACACACTTCTCAGATAAGGAAATACAAATGGCAAATAAATACATGAGAAAATGTTTAACATCATTAGTCATTGGAGAAATGCAAATTAAAACAACACTGAGATTCCACCTTACCCCAGTAAGAATGGCTAGCATTAAGAAATCAACCAATAACAAATGCTGACGAGGCTGTGGAGAAATAGGAACCCTTCTCCATTGCTGGTGTGAATGCAGACTGGTGAAATTACTGTGGAAATCAGTTTGGAGATTCCTCAGCGAACTAGGTCCCACTCAACTCAGCTATTCCCCTTCTGGGTATTTTCCCAGAAGCACTAAATACATCATATCACAGTGATATATGTGCACCTATGTTCATAGCAGCACAATTTGTAATTGCTAAATTGTGGAAGCAACCCAAATGTCCATCCACCGAGGATTGGATAAGAAAATTGTGATGCTTTTGTATAATAGAATATTACTCAGCTATAAAGAAAGATAAACTCGAGGCCTTTATAAGTAAATGATCACATAGAGACCATACTCATAAATGAAGTAAATCAGACCTGCATGTGCAAGCACCACATTGTCTCACTAGTGTAAAACCTGAAAGAGTTAATTTAAACTCAGAGGAATGATACAGCTTCTTTAAGAAACTTAATTCAACAACATTCAAAGGAGATTGCACTTTGTCAATATTCTGTTTAGTGTTCTTAACACAATTCTGTCAGGAGGGGAAGGGTGAAGCAATTGTCTTCCCATCAATCCCTGCAAGGTGGGTGAACTTGTATTACTGATATTCAGCCATCTTCATTGTGACTAACTGCTTTATGATTTAAGCAAAATCCAAGTTTTGACTTCAAAGAATTTCAGTTTTATCTTTAATTTTATTTTTAGTTGTGAAATACAATTAAATGTATTCATAGATGCAGTGGTATGTGCTGCTATATATTTATATTACCTTATAGCTAAATCAAGTGGATTAATGTGTCCATTACCCCAGTATTTCTTCACATGCATGAGTGTGGATAGCAATTTTGTTTGGGATACATTTAACTACTAATATTAAGGAAATATCTTTTTCCTGAAATAAAGCATTTCAACAGACGTGGATACTTGTTAGTATTGAAGAGTATATGTGCTTCACTAAATATATTATTTTTCTCCTAGCAAACCGTGAGGATATTTGAAAAGATCATATTTTCTAAAGATGTGCACAGTATAGTTCTGTACACAAATTTTATTCTGAATACATATAGCAAGGTCATGTTAAGTATACAACAGGTATAAAAGAATGATGAAGCCACTCTTCCAGGAATCTTGTCAGGTCACTAAGCTCTTCCATCAGAAAGGTATACCCACCATTCATTTAATTCCAAAGGTGTTGTAAATAGTCTTTTAAAGTCATCATATCCATACTTAGGTTGTAATTATATGAGTGTGTGGAAGGAACACAAGCATTCAGTTCATGAATGGTACTGGACGGCACTGGAACGTAATCATTGAATCCTTTCCCTAAGGAACTCAGTACTTTCTCTTCAGGCTTACGACCAGCAACTACCAGAACTACCTGGCCTTCGCTTTTGCCATAGAAGAGATCAACAGGAATCCTCATCTTTTACCCAACATTTCTCTGGGCTATGAGTTCCATAATTCCATTAGCAGTCATTGGATGATGCTAGAAAATTCCTTCATTTTGCTCACAGGACAACACGAAATCCCTAATTACATGTGTGGGAGACAAAGCAAGTGTGCAGCAGTTCTGACAGAAATGTCATGGGGCACCTCGGGTCAGATCGGACCACTGCTGCAACTCTACAGATTTCCCCAGGTGAGGATTGGTGGGAAAGGAAATGGTGGAAGCACACCCATGGGTCTTCTACTACCAGGAGCATAAAGGGTTAAAAGTGAGCCTGAGATATGCATCTTTCAAAGAGTATAAGGCACCAAAGCCTCTGTACACAGAAAATTCATGGGGTATAGACAATTTCTTTTCCCTTCATTCTTTTTGACCAAAGAAGAGGAAAGAAGGAAACAAACGTTTCTGGGATATTTGAGTACACTAATTCACTTGTTAAAATATCTGAGGGTGATGTTTAGAAGGCTGGAAAGAACGCGTGTCTCCTATGAATTGTAGGTGTTCCTCAGCACACTTCAGGGTTACTACTGTGCTTTCCATCAACACTTCAGGACATCACAGGTTTTCTTTTCCTTTAAGGTTACCTTTGGCTCATTTGATCCTACACTGACTGACAGTGGCCAGTATCCTTCTCTTTATCAAGTGGCCCCAAAGGACACGTATTTGGCCCTTGGCATGGTGTCCTTGATGCTTCATTTCCGCTGGACCTGGGTGGGCCTGCTCATCACAGAAGGCCAGAAGGGTCTTCAGTTCCTCTCAGATATAAGAGCTGAGATGGACAGGAACAGAGTCTGTGTAGCCTTTGTGAAAATGATCTCAAGTGTGGCTGTGTCCTATGTCTCATTTACAAAGCAGCATGATGTCCTGCCTGCCGATACTGCATCAGCCAATGTGGTGGTTATTTACTATGATACTGATAATACACATGATGTAAACTACAACATAGTGCAAGACTTAGTGACATGGAAAGTCTGGGTGACCAACTCACGATGGCAGGCTGACCTGTCTGGGAGAGATTTCATACTTGACCCCTTCCATGGGACTCTTGTTTTTTCACATCACCACGAAGAGATCTCAGGTTTCAAAAAATTTGTCCAGGAAGCTACCCCTTACAAATATCCAAAAGACACTTATCTTTTTATGTATTGGTCCAAGAATTTAGGTTGCTCCTTCTCTGAGTCTGACTGTGCCTTGAAGAACTGCACACCTAATGCCTCTGTGGCTTGGTTGCCTCAAAATCATTTTGACACAGCCATGAGTGATGGGAGCTACAATATATACAATGCTGTGTACGCTGTGGCCCATGCCCTCCATGCGATGCTTTTGGAGGAAGTACAAATTCAACTAAGGAGAAATAGAGCAGTGATGTTGTTTCGCTACTGGAAGGTAATGTATATTTTCTAAGAGGGCTTGCAGTGTCATCAAGGTGCCCCTCTCAAGTTATTCTATGTGTTTCATCCAACAATAGTGAAATCATTTCTACAAAATACAACTCATTGTGTATGACACTTACTGTTGAGGTAATTCTTCAGCTGAGTTCAAATGATCCTCAATCAAGGAGCCACTGGAGGGAGGAGGAAACAGGAGGCCAGCTCCTTCCGTCTGTCTATAGGATGTTAGCGCCTTACCCATGTAAACATGTCCTATTATTTTCTTAAAGGACAACTTGAAAACCTGTAGTCATTTACAAAACTAAATGATGTTAACCCTAAAAGTGCATTTAATTAAATTTCATGTAATTTTACAAACTCTTCAGATACTGATGAACCTATTTTTTCGTAGATGCTAAGGGAATATTGGAGTAGACAATGGAAGGTGTGGGTTTTAGAACCTTTGATTTCACAGTTGATGGTTTCACCCTAAAACTGTACCCTTTATTCAAATACACTGGCAGAGAATACTTTTTTTCTGAAACTGATTGACGTTTTTTGAAAATGGTGATATTTTAATCCTTAGACAGTCTTGTGCTCCACCTTAATAGATACCAGTGTTAACGTTGCTTTCAGTAAAGAAGATTAAAGGCACTTAGCGACTTTCCCCCATCCATAGTTTCTGTCCTTACCCTGGAACACTGTTCTGATAGAATGATGTGTCTCCTTTAGCTGCATCGCTCTCTGAGGAACATCCAATTTCGCAGTCCTGCTGGAGACCAAGTGAACTTGGATGACAGAAGGAAACTGGATTCAGAGTATGACATTCTCAATTTTTGGAATTTTCCAGAAGGCCTTAGACTGAAGGTTAAAGTAGGAACATTTACTTCACATGCTCCCCTTGGCCACAAAATGACTTTATCTGAGGATATGATAGAGTGAGCCACAGGAACTGCAGGGGTATGTTGTACCTATCACTGCACAATTACTTAACCACAAGTGACGTAAACACTGTCCTCGCTTCTCTGCCCCCAATTTTGCTCATGTAGTGGTCATACGTGGAAACTGAATAATAATAATGTTTTCAATATAAAAATATGATTTAGAACCTTTCTGATAAGTTGGAATGTAATGCATGTAATTATAATTTTATATATATATTTCATATTAAGAAATGAATTTGGTTTTCAATTATATAGCTTTGTTTATGTATGCAAATTAATGTTATCTCTCTCACTCTGAACAAGTAATTAAAAGTCTAAGATGTTACCACTATATGTATTCTCCTTAGACTCCCCGCTCGGTATGCAGTGAGAGTTGCAATCCTGGATTTAGAAAAAGCCCTCAGGAGGGAAAGGCTGCCTGCTGTTTTGATTGCATCCCTTGTGCAGACAATGAGATCACCAATGACACAGGTAGGAGCAATCACCAATGCGTCCTGTTTTTGCATTCTCACTTTATTTGATATTCATTCCATCCATCCATCCAGAAAATGGAAAGAATCTTGTAGAAAGCACCAATGATAAAAATCTTCCTCCACTTATCAAATTATTGTTATACTGAGTGCTGTTGCTAGGTTGGAAAACACATTTTCCCCTTTCAAATGCACTCTAATCTAGTTTCCTTTTATTTCATTCTTATTCATCTTTTTTTGTTTGCCTTTTCCACTGCTAGAAATTAAACCAAATATGCTTTATCAGTGATCTAAGTCCCCAGCTATTCTTATTTGGTATTATGGACAGAATATCACCAATTTGCTTAGAGTGCCTCAAGAATTCAATAAGCCAATCTCTGTCCACCAATAATCTGGAATAACACATAGGCACCGCCACATGGGACTACAATGATTTATTGTTCTATTCCCATTAAAAGCAGTATTTTCCCAAGAAAAGCCCTTTCTCTTCCCCTATGGCTTCTATTTTCCATCTCTGTCATCAATTTTAACACAGAGTAGGATTACAGCCAACTCTTTTGAACCTTTGGAACCACAGACAGTTTACAGTCAATACAAGATCAGGCACACTTCATCTCCCAGGGCCTGACGGTATTCTTCACACAAAGCAGTGCTCAGACTGATTGAATGTGATTGGAGGTGAGGCATGTCTTTGCTGTACAACATGCTTATAGCACAGCACAATCCAATTCCTAGGATTTTATCTCCATTCTCCTAAAATGCATAGGTGAGTGGGAGACAGACAATGACATAAATTGGAGTCTACCACAGAACTGCAAGGATAAGGGATTTAAGAAGTGATCATATCTGCATTTGAAGAGGGTGTCATAGGCATTTTTATAGAGATGATGGCTTTAGTGTTATATCACAATAAAAAGAGGTGACATAAATCCTTTTAGGATTAGTATAAAAGGCCAAAATGACATATTCAGCATTCATGGAATATTCAAATATTCCATGAAGGAAAATACCGTATTATTAAAACACAGATAAAATGAGGATGAGAATTGAAACATATTCTATAAACTATATGTCTTCTACAGTAGAAGACTGTTGCATACCATAAGTACGACTTTGGAAATATTTAGCTTTCTAATAAATCATGGCATGGTGGAATAATCTTCCTACTGAATATTTTCTAATTTGGTTTTGCGGTTGATATAAATTTTTATTTCAAAACATATTTAATGTGATTTCAAGTGCTCTCTGCAGTACATCAAGACTAATTACGTACTGTGTCATGTAGTTATTTTTAATATATATTTCCACAAAGTATAGGAATATGCTTCCTTTTAAAAATGTTCTATGTGCACATATAGACAACAATGCACGCAATGATATCAGTTAATAAATGATTCCAGTATGTAAAATACTGTCATATATACTATATAGAATAGATCAAAGCACAAATTAAAAATCATGTGTGACTAAAAATCCTTTGTGTTGAAGCTAAATCTATACTGAGACAAATATACATTCTATATTACACATGCTTTTGTGTTGTTCTATATGTAAATAAAAACCTGAAGTTCTGCATTTGAAATATTCATCACACACTACAAAAACGTATAACAAGTTGAAAACAACAAAATGGAAGATGCGATGTCTGAACGAAATTTTTAGAAAATTAAGACACATAAAAATAAGCAGAATTAAATGTGGTTCTGGTTACAAAAAGTGACAACTCCTAGTACAACTGAGCAACAAGGAAACAAGAATTCAAAGTTTGCATATCTTGAGACATTTGACCACGAGTACAGTTGTATAGAAAACCTTTCATAGCGAAATACAAGTAATTTCACATTAGTCTGTGCTTGAAATTTATAAAGTCCCAGGAAAAGTTAGCAAACCATTCCTAAACAGAGATAAAAAGGCTCCAAGTACTTATATCTCTACAGTACCAGGTCTATGAATGGGTGGGAGCATATAGTGTAATGCTTCCCTCCAAATTTTTGTTGATTAATAATATTAGCAGTGAAATTTATGAGCACTTAAAGACATATTAATATTGACCTCATTCTATCAGAGAAAAGGGAAAGAGGAAAATCAATTCATTCTAACACAGGAGCTAAATTGTGTTACTCATAGCAGAAAATGCATTTAGAGGAAACGGAGGTCACAGCCCACTTTCCTTTTCAAACTAAATTCACATATTCTATTTCAAATTGAGGTATGTGCTTCAGGGGGTGGTAGAAACTCAGAAAAATGCACTTTATAAAATATAATTGGGGGCTGGGGATTTAGCTCAGCAGCAAAAGTGCCTGCCTGGCAAGTGCAAGGTCGTGAGTTCGGTTCCCGGTACCGGAGAAAAACCACACACACACACACAAAAATTAAGTACAGTAGCTCCTGGGAAAATAAAACCAATGCTAATAAATGCAAACAATATTTTAAAAGTGTACATCAGTGTGATTTACAAAGAAACA